AGCATTTATTATTATTATCAACGTGTCATGTATGTGAGCCGCGCCATTATTTTGATTATCCTGCCAGTAGCTCGAATCCAGATCTAACTATCAGAGAGCGTTTTCCGGTGGATACGGATGCCTCCGTCTTCGGCCCTTTTCGTCTACTCAAAACATGCTATGCGTCGCTCCAATTTTACTGATATTTGGGGGGTTCATTCCGTTCGCATATCTATTCTAAACCACCCCATCTAATCAACACAAGCCGTGAATTTATTTATTACACAAAATACTATGCCAGATGGAAGTGAGTTCTCAAGCCCTGAACGCCAATTGTGTCTGGATATAGTATAGACGGTTGCGCTATTTTTCTCCGACTTGCTAACGGCAAGCAAGCCCGCATTCCGGCAGTTCGACCATTGTGACCGATGATGTTTACCGTGAGCTCTACATCAGGCTAAGTGTAGGAGCAATGACCTGCGTGTGGTTTCTTTTAGAGTGATTGTGGTATCAAGTTGGTCAACGTTTGGAATTCTCCACGCCCTCTTAACGAGTGCTTCCACTTTTGGCCCCTGTTGACATTCTCCTTTCGCCGTTTGTAACCCTCTTTCGAGGACTATCGGTGTTCTTTCAATTAACTATTTTTTTATATTCTGACCTTGGGCTGGGGATTCGATTTGCTCGAACAGTCACAAAGGACTTCTTTGTCTAGGGTATCCACTGTTGAGGTTTGTACGTTTTTTTCTCTACTACATGTATTCTAACAATAGTACCGTATATACATCGAAGTCTGTTTTTATTTATACGCGTTAGGGGGCCAACAAAGAATTCTTCAATGATAGTGGACTTGCACAACATCTATCGCACTCCCTCCTCCTTCCCCACCGGGACCCGGTGTCAAGACATAGTCACAAAGACCGGAGGCGGGAGATGGTACAGGTGCCTGACACGGCGAAAAGCATACCATCACCGTTCCCGCCTCCGATCCACAGCAACAAGTACGGCCAGGATCCCAGTTGTCGTGGCGCGAGCTTGAAACTGGGCCTTCCATCCCACCCCACTATGGGTGTGCATTCCCGATAACGCCTGCCGGACTCTCATCCAGGCCCCTGTTGCGTTTCAGAGGCACAAGGTCCGCGTTGCACCAGAGTTATCACACACACTATTGCCCTAAGAGGGTAGACCAAGGCCTTCACCACGCAGTTAACCCCGAACCCTCCAACTTATTCGGCTGTTACACTATAATCACTTGACCTGTTCTCAACGGGCAGCTGCTTGTCTGCCACTGGGAGAGTCTCCGTGAGACTTGGCGGAGTACAGAGTCGTGATCTGTTTGGCTTGTTGGCAAACCAAATAACCTACGTAGGTAGGCTTATTCAGTAAAGCAGGAGTACTAATATTCGTTGCTCGTATACACATTAATAGGAACGTAAGGGGACGGCAATAAACCCACCTATCTGTTCGATGTTGCTGTAAAACAGTTGTTTCCAAACTGTTCGTCGACACGACCCCAGAACAGAGCGGAACCTCAATATTCCGTCCCACAGTCAGAGCAGATCGGCAAACGTTGTACCCCTGTCAGGAAGACATCGTCCAAAGAACATTCCAAAATCTGACTCAGGAGGACAGCAAGAAGCTTGCCAAAAGCGTCCTAAAAAACCTTTGATATGACAGCCATAACAATTGAAATATCAACGTGCTTTTACCCTAAAGGGAGGTATTAGAGACAACACTCCGTAACGGTTTGCCTTTACTCCAGGACAGTAAACATTCTTATGAGGGGTGTTTTAACGAGGTAAGACTGAGCACCTTCCTATGGGTGAAAAAAAGATTGAAGCTAATTTATAGTCTGGCCTCCACTGTCTGAATACTTGGGGAGCGAAATTTTTGCCGGCAGATCATACTCACTAGTTTTCTTGCGTTTTTTTCATGACTTTTTTCGGCTAAAAGGCGCTTTCAGTGTCTAACGCTTGTGTCTGAGTCTGAGCATATAGGCCTGCCTATATCCCTTCTATAAGAAAGTCAGTAGAAATCCGACGAGAAGTTAGGAAGGTCAGAACATCGACCGATCACATTTCTGTCGCCTGAGATGAGTGTACGGAGTACTCCCCGCAAGCTCTGTCCAACCGACTGTCATTTAAAGCAAATAAGTACACACATTCCGTTGGAATGGTCATTTGTTAGTTTTTCTACTGGCATGAATAGCAAGGGAAAACTTTGCTGACGATTTCATCGCCGAGAATAATGTAGCATTAAAACGCATTACGAAGAAACCTGTGACTTTCTGTAACCAAGCAGTATTACAATAAGTAGACTGAACAGCAAGCTTGGTTTGACAGCCGTAATGATATCGCCTTGCGTAAAAGTTCCTGCCTGCGCGAGCCTGTGTCGATAACTATAAGGATAGACTTATAGTTCTTCAATCACAGTATGGTCATCGTAATTTATCATTTCTTTAAATCACCATCCTTCACTAGGAGGACGCGGTGTTTTTGTATTGCAAGGCCCCGAAGACAAAGATTCGCCAATTTTTAATCATTCAGATCACTAGAGTAACAGCAGTAGAATCGTAGGTGGCAGTAGTAGTAGTAGTAGTAGTAGTAGTAGTAGTAGTAGTAGTAGTAGTAGTAGTAGTAGTAGTAGTAGTAGTAGTAGTAGTAGTAGTAGTAGTAGTAGTAGTAGTAGTAGTAGTAGTAGTAGTAGTAGTAGTAGTAGTAGTAGTAGTAGTAGTAGTAGTGGCGCATGATGTTTTTATTTTGTATGACTTTGGTGGTTACCCTTTGCAGACCACATACGATGTTGTAACGGCGCGTTCTAACTCGCTCGGAACCTGGTCCTACATCAGTTTAATAATCCCTTCAGCTACGATTGTTACCACGTTTCCCCCTTTCGAAAATAGCAGCTCTTTAACTTCAACTCCACAAACTCTTCTGTTTTATACACGATGTATCCTAAGTGCCTGATCTAGTTATATGTAGATAACCAACCTAACGGCTAGCCGCTCCTCCTCCTCCTCCCCTCCTGAGCCTCAATTTTCTCGTTCTTGACAGCCCAGAATTTCAGAAACTTAGCGCATTTTTGAAATTGGTACTCCCATATCCAGGAGTTTAGAGTATCAGGAAGAGGAATTTCTGAAACCACCTTCCTCCCCACCCCCCAGATCATCTTCCTCACTTGCACTGACATATTTTACAAGTGTGCACGGATGACTCGCGGATGTCGGCTCTGTGACGGACTACGGACTACTACAGCACTTCTGCAGGCGCGGGTTCTCCATCTGCGCCTTGTTTTTGCGAAATTTCGACCGCCACAATCGACGAGGTTTGCCATTGTCTCTGAAGCGCAGCGATGACTGCCGCGTGAATTTGTTTATAGTTAGACAGATGTGTGTATCCACCTCCACAACCACCGTGTTTCAGTAGCAGGACTAAGTGAAGGCGAGCGACGGTGAAAGTGGGTGTAAAGTCCGCCTACACGCCCGCTGCACAGAATCTGCGTTGTGAACTCTCCTCATGCCTCGCTGGCTTGTCTTCCAAAAACCCGCCTTCATCAAATTCCCTCATCAGAACTCGATAGTCGGGCGGAAGAAAGGGTTATTAGCGTACCCCCAGTGCGTATGTAAAGCTGAATAGGAACACACGAGAATGTCCAAGGTCGGACTGAAATTCAACCAGTCATGTAGCGTCCTTGCGAGGCAAAGGCCCAATCGCATCGGGAGCTAGTTCGGCATCAACACAAGGACGGCGTCCCAACAACGCGGGCCGCGAATCCACGTGAATTTGGCTTGGAAAAGAAAGAGAGGCTCTAGGATTTCGCAGTAGGTCTTTTACAGTGGCGCGTACACAATTTGGGTGCACCATGAGAACTTTCTGTCCCATCAACCAGGAGTCTCAAAATCGCTGCTAACTGGTAGGCGAGGCGTATCGAACGCGTCCTCTGAGAAAAAATGGACTTGGTCGCCATCCTAACCAGCAAAATGTATCCAACTTCTATATTGACAGGCGAGGCGGACTCACTTCAGCGCCCCAACCAAATGTGCAACCCTGTGTATTGAACGGCAGATACAACAGTGCCTCGTTTAAAACGGAGTCTGTACATAAGTAACTCCTGATATCTTGCAAGCAGTGGTCAACCCTCGGCTCTTTGTTTTCTTGTTGAAGCACACGGGTCTTAGTTGGGTTTCTCTATCGACATCCGTAGTCATAGATGAAAACGACGGATTTCCAGAGTTGCGATCGGTTTGCTTCAGATGCTGTGGAGTACTGAGCTTCGAGGCCACCAGAGGAGTGGACATTTAGGAATATGACTGATTACTCTTGCAGTTTTTTGTTGGCATTCAGGCTAAAGGGATGGGGTTGTCCTCTATAAATACTGAGTAGGTCAAATTCGGCGAGAATACGCTTTCCATCATTCATCCTCAAGCCTGTACACTAATATAAGAAAGTTGCAGTAGAGCAGGGAAGGTTAGAATAGCCAATGATCAGTGGTCCTATAGGAGAGGGTCAAGGACGAAACATATGCATAAGTCACTGTAAGACTCCCCCCCCCCCCGACGCCCAAGCAGAACCAGACTATGCTTACGCCCTGCCTGTTGTCCATTGACTAGTTAAACATTCGGTGCTTTACCGTAGCTCACTTATATTGTTGTAGAGGCCTGAGGGCGAGTAATCGAAAACATACATTCGCCGAATTCGATTTCTCAATGGTTGAGTGGGTATCGTCGTAGAAATGTGGAGTAGTTGTGCAAGTAGGACGTTCTGAAAGGGAGCTGGGGTCGCAAACTTTGAAGGGTTTCAGTTTTTACGACATATACCTTATTCTCACTGCTAAGAACTGTACACATGGGGTGTGAATGATTAACAGAGGTCACAAACAGGCCACCTAGCGGGCCGAACTTGGTAAATATAGGGCCGGGGCAACGATCGGATGAAGACCCCCAAACATACATGACCAGCCAAAGGTGCCTGTCTTACGGGAAAAGGTGGTAATCGGGGTTTTACGGGCGTGGCCTATGTATGCATAGAGGAGTGACAAAGTATAGATAATTGGTAGATTCGTTTTTTCGGGTGAGAAAGTTTTTACTGCATTGACATATAGTAACTGAAATTAAGCAGGACAATTTAAAAAATAAACATTAATTGTCTGCGACGATCGTTTCTCAACTTCCTGAGCTGAGGTCATTGTAGAGAACGCGCCAACCGTCCACAACAGGCGACCCTAACTTGTACGAAGCAACGCCAAATCGGAATAATCGTGTCGGACTAAAACCCACTGAAATAAGTATAGTAGGTATTCTTTGTATGCCACAGATGCTTGGGGGCCTTCACCCGATCCTTATCATCCGCTCTCCAATAAAAGAAAATTTCAGGTAATGAGGCACTGATTAAATTCTGTTAAATGAAGTTCATGCGACTTGTTTGATCGACAATGTCTGTGGACCATCTGCATTGTGTATGCTCGCTTATGTTCGTGTTTAAATAATGATCAAGATTAAGGGGTGGGAGGGTACGGACAGAATAAAGTCGAAACAGCGTTGCGCTAGTCTACCCACGGTTCGATCGCTTCCTTTCTACCGGCTACCATCGGCACAAAAATCGACTCGATGGTCGTTCCAGCGCCTTCGAGGGAATTAAAGGCCCACTTCTTGAGATAATTACTTTGAGATCGAAGGAAATGAGGGCCTGATTGAGCGATGTCTAGAGAAGATATGAAGGCCAGCATGGCGGTTTCATGTAGAACTGACATGCTAACATCCGAGTATATGCATTACTATTCCACAGCTATAGACGACTTTCACTACCGCCACAAAGGCCCAACAGGGGTTTCCTTTGTATTCAACTGGAAGCCCTAACCGGACGGGCAGACGCTAACTAAGTAAAAGCTGTCATTAGTTTTTGTTTCTTTATCAGAGGGATCGTGCAATTTTTAAAATGATGTAAGTTACTAGTTGACCAGTTTTCCACATTACTTGCTATGCTGTGTGGGAATGAATATTTTCGCTGCCGCTACAAAATTCCAGTGTACCTTTGGACCTTGGAGGCCATCCTATGGTGGACGACGATCCTATCGAAAGAGAACGGTCTGTTCCCGCACATACTGGTTTGTCCAAAGAGTCTTCGCGATCTCTTTTTTTCAAATGCAAATTTTCCCGCCAGAATGCTTTGCTGTGACAAGCGCTGTCGGTTGTTTGAAAAGATTTATACTCTACTAGGCTACTGACGCCGTTTTCCGGCAGCAATTAACATTGTAGTTAGTAGTGGGGTGTGAATTGGTGAAAAACGAGCAGTTTTGACTCCTGATGCTTTTTGCATTCAATGAAGCAGCCAAAGCTGCTTGTGGCACTTGTGTTGTACATGGGGGGACGCCATCACTGAAAAGACCGCTTACAATTGGTTCATCTAATCCAAAAATGACACCGTCGAAATCCAAGAAGACCTCCGTTCCGGACGACCGACTGATTTCCGAGAAAAAACTGTCGGCATATTGGCAAATAAATGAAAGAAGGGTTTAACTTGAACCCTTATCTTTGCCTGACATTTACACAGAAGCGCCATCTCTCATTGTCAGTGGTTGTATGATAGGAGGATCTTCGTTCGTGCCGCTTAAACAAATCGGCAGCAATAATGCTCGTTGCTTTAAGAAATAGCATGTGGCGCCCACGCTCCAAGCCCTTGAAATTATCCCACTGACTTTAAGGGATTGCGGATGGTCTGGTGGTCCCAGTGACATTTCCTTGCTAGCTTTCGGTCAATTTTCATTCAAACGTGCATTCGGCCAGTCTTGATGGAAACAAGTCGCTCGTTCGGAACGGCGGTCGTCTTGGATTTCGAACGTGTCATTTTTTGATTAGACGAACCAACAGTAAGCAATTTTTTTCATTTATGGCGTCCCCTCCATGCACAACACAAGTGTCACGAGCAGCTTTGGCCGCTCCATTGAAAGCAAAAAGCATCAGGTGTCAAAAATGCTATTTTTCACAAATTCCCACCTCAGTATTAACTGCAATGTTAATTGTTGCAGGAAAACGGCGCCAGTAGCCTAGCAGAAGAGAAATCTTTTCAAACAACCGCCCGACTTCACAGGAGAATGGTGGCAGTGACCCTGTAGAGCAAAAAATAGACGTTTTCGAGTGATACGCACCGTTTGCCAGAAAAAGTAAGTTACCTGCATTCCTGTCTCCTGATACGCCGGAAATCGAGCCAGGTGCGATTTGATTGATTGTTGGTGAGCTAAGGCGCTGTAACCGATGCGTACGTGCGTCCACCCACCGTTCGTTTCTTCGGAAACTATTCACGTTTTGATGGTTCTCTTTTACAAAGGAAGAGGAGGAGGAGGAAGAAGAAGAAGAAGAAGAAGAAGAAGAAGAAGAAGAAGAGAGTCTGAATAGTTTTCACACTGAAACTCGAAGCGTGCTCAGATCATTGATGCTCTGACAATTCGGTGAGGGTCAGTATCAGTGTGACAGTTCGCGGTCGTGACTTTGTGAGCCTGAAACCAAAGTCCAGTTCTTAGTAGCCTTGACATTCGTCACGCCTCCAAGCTAACCGACAGAATTGGCTTGTTGGTTTGAACCCAACGTTCTCCTTAAAACCCTTCCGAATTGCATCGGAAGTCTGCCTGTACGATTGCTGCCCGCCCGCAAAACTATGGGGCTGGTAAGAAACCCCCGTAAGGCCAGAAATGGTACCTATTCGGGCGTTGTAGTCCTAACTTTGGCACTAACACTAACCCTAATCTCCTGGCC